CCTATGGATATTTTGATACTTCGACGTAGATTGTCCAGAAGAAATTTTCTGAAATTGTCACAAGCATTGTTTTAAAAATTTTGAAGTTTGAGACCCTCAATCTAAAGGTATTTCTTTAGCACATCTAGATATTGATGTCAAATAAAGAAAAATAATATATAGGGTGATTTCTAATATATTATACCATAATATTTTTTAATGGTACAGAATTACTCAAAAATAAGGGAGATCAGAAGCCACATTTCATTTAGTAAAAAAAATTAACTTCATATCTTAAATAACGTGTTCAAATTTGTATTAGAATATGTAAATTAAATAGCCGTTGGCTAACAGATAAAAGAGGAATGGAATGGTCAAAGGGGTGGGAAAATTAAGAGATAACATCCTGTGTATATTTTGTTATATACTCAAATAAACTAACACTTGTACCTTGTACTAAAGAAATCTACAACATTTTTGAGTGATATTACAAAAATATTTTATGGTATTTACTACATTCAGCAGATTTCATCTCAGTAGGCATTTTGTATATACAGGGTGTTTTTGAATGGAGTAGCATAAATGATACCAGTGAATCTACATCTGCACACGATCTGCAAAAAATCGCCTTGGTAAAATGTTCACCCCTGAAGAGATAAGGGCCATCAAAGTTTCCAAAAAAATTATGAAAATAGGCTGTAATTTGAAAACCGAACGAGGTACAAATAACAAATTTTTTACAGGTTGTTTACTAATACAGATGCGAGTTTTCAACTATTTTTCGAAAATTTTAACCCCTCGAAAGGGGTTGAAATAACCACCCCTCAAGCCATTTTTTGCCATAACTTTTATATTTCGTAAAAACTCGATATCCAAAAATACGCATTAGATAAACTGGTTCTTTTAGAAACTTTTACCTCTCTAGCAATTTTCCTTTAAAACTTTTCGTTTATTAATAAAAAAATAAAATGTATTACCATTCACCTCACACCGTATATGATTGCAATCAATCAAAGAAAAACTAAGTGTGCTGCTGTCATGCCAGTTGTCACAATTAACTCTTCTGTAAGTTGTCACTGTTATCAGCTAAATACTTTTTGGGTGTAAATTAACAAGAATTATGCCAAATTTTACTAATGATGAATATGTGGACATGCTACAAGTGTTTTTTTCTACGATCGTGCAAAATTTACTACTTATTGCACTACCTACTGTGCCAAAAGTTTAACTTTTTTTACAGTAGTACAAAAAAAATATTGATTACAAGTTTAATCTAAGCATATCCATAAGTACCTAACGTCTGACATTGACAATTTGCGCAATTAATTTCCAGTTGTCAGTTAAAATTTTAATATTATTATATAAAATACTGTTAAATAAAATTTGAAATAAAAACAATCGTAGAAAAAATGTTGCGTGCAACAGGTGCAAAAAGCATATTTGTTGCACTTAACATGATTGCAGCTCTCAACTTCGTCTCGAGCTGCAAACTTCATGCATCGTACAACAAATACACACTCTTTACAGTAGTTGCACAAATAACTGTTTGAATGTCGCAGAAACTTTTATTAAATAGAAGTACAATAATGAAAACGAAACTAAGAATAATTTATTATCAAAAAGAGAAAAAACAAAAAACTTAGTTAAAGGACATTTTCAAAATAATTGCCATTTCTTTCTAAACACAACCTAACACGTTTATCGAAGTTGTTACAAACTCAAGCAAAAATTATGGGATTGTTGCGAATCTCATCAGCCGCCGCGAATATTATTTCCTGTAGCTCTTCAACACTGTCAACTGGGGTCGCATAAACAATACTTTTTATATGTCCCCAAAAGAAAAAATCCATGGGCATTAGATCGGGAGAACGTGCAGGCCAAGAGATAGGTGCCTCATTGCCGCGACCTATCCAACGATTCGGGTAATTTAAATTAAGCCACCGCCTAACTACTACAGTGCTGTGAGCAGGAGCCCCGTCATGCATGTACCACATGGCCTGACATACATTTAATGGTACTTCCTCCAGAAGTGATGGTAGATGCTCATTTAAGAACTGCAAATATTCAACAGCACCAAGTCGATGAGGTAAAACAAAAGGGCCGACAAGCACATTTCCTACAATTCCTACCCAAATGTTTAAACTAAAATTATGTTGAAATGTTGTCATAGATACTTCGTGAGGATTTTCAGGAGCCCAGGAATGAAGATTGTGCATATTGGTTAAACCATGCCATGCCGGTGGTGAAAAGGATATAATAAATTATCATGGACAATATTCCAAACAAGACACTATGGGACACATTTAAGTGCATTGCTGTTTTTCTCGTACTAGTCTGACGATTTTCGTTAAACTCTTCAAGTACTGCATCCTCAAGATAAATAGTACGAACAGTAGGTCTTCGGCCGGTACCCTCAATATGCGGCTGTATTTTTCCAGTTTCCCGAAGTCTTCGTTCTACCGCCGAAAAAGTTTGTCTGTGGGGAACTTGACGATTTGGATATCTCTCATTATACGCTCTTGTTGCCGCAGCACAGTTTTTGCGACATTCAAAATACACTTGTAGCATGTCCACATATTCATCATTAGTAAAATTTGGCATAATTCTTGTTAATTTACACCCAAAAAGTATTTAGCTGATAACAGTGACAACTTACAGAAGAGTTAATTGTGACAACTGGCATGACAGCAGCACACTTAGTTTTTCTTTGATTGATTGCAATCATATACGGTGTGAGGTGAATGGTAATACATTTTATTTTTTTATTAATAAACGAAAAGTTTTAAAGGAAAATTGCTAGAGAGGTAAAAGTTTCTAAAAGAACCAGTTTATCTAATGCGTATTTTTGGATATCGAGTTTTTACGAAATATAAAAGTTATGGCAAAAAATGGCTTGAGGGGTGGTTATTTCAACCCCTTTCGAGGGGTTAAAATTTTCGAAAAATAGTTGAAAACTCGCATCTGTATTAGTAAACAACCTGTAAAAAATTTGTTATTTGTACCTCGTTCGGTTTTCAAATTACAGCCAATTTTCATAATATTTTTGGAAACTTTGGTGGCCCATATCTCTTCAGGGGTGAACATTTTACTAAGGCGATTTTTTGCAGATCGTGTTCTTTTGAAATGTAGATTCACTGGTATCATTTATGCCACTCCATTCAAAAACACCCTGTAGACAAAATGGTCTAAATTGTCTTATTTTTTGTCGCACCTGTTGATGATCGAGTAGTCTTGTGTCCAAAAACTTTTCTGGTAGACCCTTGTATATTAGTTATGGTATAGTCCATAGCTTTTTTGAAGACTGTTATGAAAATGTTAATAATTGATGTAAAACTTAAGAAGTAGCAACTATAGTTGCACCAATTCAGCAGTTCAGTAATTGTTTTATAACAAAATTATTTTTCACTCTACAAGCAATTCAAAATTATAACAATCATCATTCATAATTTATGAATATTATTTTTATAAATAATTAATTGAGATTAGGCCTGGATTTGGGGCGGGCTAGCCCAGAACCTCACAAGATCGGGGGACCTCGGCAAGATCCAGGCCTCACCATAGGTTAATCCGGCCCTGATTGAGACAACTGATAATTAATTTACCCTACCATAGAAAACTCGCAGGCTCACAGATTTAAATGGTGAAATTAAATTTTTTACTCTGATAACATACTGTTGTGGATTATAATTTTGTGTTCCCCGTTTTAATTTATTGTTAATTGTCTATCTCTATATCCATAAGACTTTTTCTTGGGGTGGACCTAGGGCTACTGCAAGCTCCATGGAGGCCTCCAAAAAAAAAAAAGAAAATTGGCAATCAACAACTTCCCGATATAATATTTCAAAACTCTAATAAGAAGCACCAACTTCTTATTAGAATCAAACGAAAAAGAGCTGAAATATTATATCAGGATGTAAACGACTTACCAATATGAGGAAGATATTATTGGATCTTTTTTTTCTGAGGTGGACACCGGGCTGTTTGGAGTGGGCCTTACACACCCCTGCTCCCCCCCTAGCTATGCCCATATGTACATCATTCCCTAGACAATGGAAAGATGTTAAAGATGTTAATGTTACCCAAAACTTAAGTCTTATTTGCAATACTATAATTTTGCTAGTTTATCTTTTTCAATAGGTTTTTATTTTTACAAATAGACAAGAAAACAGTGAATAAAGTAGAATGTATATCATTGAACGCAGAATATAATGAGCTATATAATTGTGGAAAAGTATAGAAGCATATTCTATCCAGGGTGTAAATGATAAGTTTAGCCAAAATTTAATGGCATATTCTACTAGTGAAAATAATCAACTTTTGCCCTATAAAAATTTTTGATAGGACGCTTCCCTACGGAGATACATTGTGTTAAAATATTTATATTACTTTTCTTGTAACTTGTATGAAAAATAACCAGTAAACCTTTTGTAATACACAATACAGTGACGTGTAGTGTTTTGAAATCTCTCAAAAATTTTAGATATTGAATTTATTGTTACACATTTAGCAATCGATAGAAAATGATAAATAGCAATGTAAGTACTTAAGTATCTTCTTATTTGATTTCCCAATTATCTAAAGATCCGTAAATTTTACGAATACTTTACAATGTTCATTTTTTAATAGTAGGTATCTCGCTTATTATCAGAGATGGACCCAACAAACCATAGTCATATAGACTATGGTCGACAGGGAATGTTCTATCTAAATATGTAAAAATATACGGGTGTTCCATTTAAATTAACAAAGTTATCAGCGTCCATTTTGTTTGGACCTGAATTGTTTTTCAACTATCATTTTCGAAAAATTCATAAAAAATCGGGCAACGTTTGTATTTCACATTTTTTTAGTGAATTACCCTGTACCTACCTAAGTAGGTGCTAAAAAATTGTCTTTAATTACATCTTACAATATTAATGCGATTTAAACAATTAGTGCCAAGGTTGATTATGTAGCAGTGATATTAATTTTGTTGGCACTAAGGATACCAAGGATAGAAGGAGTGTTTAAAGAATTATCTATTCTACCTAAATTATTTATTAGATATATTTATACATAAAAAAATAACAAATTTTTTACCACGTTTTTATACAATACTTATTCATAATTTGAAGTTTGCAGAGAAACTCAATTGTAGTGTCCATATTTTCTCAGAACCCAATCCTGATGCTCTGTGAAAGTATGGAATTTTCTTGTAAACAGTCATCGATTTTTTTTTGCAATTTTGCCTTCCATATAGATCTATGAGATCCAATTAAATGTTTCAGAGGTTGTTCAAATGATAATAAATTATTTCCTAATAGTATCATTAGGTTCATTAAAAATTTTCCAAAAGATTTATCTGTATTCAAATTATTTTCGCTATTTGACAGAATTTCAAATAATCTATTGAGTGTGTCAAATTCTATTTGAGGGACTATTAACAATTCTATAACGGGAAAATAGTTGTCCTGGAACTTTTCACATGTAAAAACCAATTTTCTAAAAAAAAAGAAAAAATTAATACAATAAAGAAAATAATAGATAAGAAATGTTTTTAATAGCCTTCGCTGATATTACAAAATAACATTGTTATTTTGTTTTATCTTATTTATGTAGGTATGTAATAGTTTTATGTGACTGTTTATACAGAGTAAGTTTAAATCCAACGGGATTTCAAGGTATCTTAGAAACATCAAAGATAGACAAAAACTAATAACATTTTCTTGAGCTTGATTTTAAAAACTCAAATATTTCCATTTCTTTTTGAAGGCCTGTTTTGTATTATCAGTAGCACCATAAATTTTGTACAATTAAGTTACACTTATCAGTTTACTATCATTGATTATTTAAAATTCAAGAGATTGTGCAATGTAAAGTGTTTTCCTAAACAGTTATTATATTTATTTATTGTTTACACTGTTTAAAATGTTTACAAACCCTACTAAAGAACAAGAGTATAATAAGAAAGAAAAATACATAATAGGAATTAGTGCAAAATAATAATGGGCATACGTTGCATATTGAAGTCAACATATCTCGAAAACAAGTAAATCTGCTTGATTCAAATCAGTTTATTTTCAACTAAGGAAGCTATCCTTGAAGTACGTCATATTTTTTACTGAACTATAGGTAATGTTGATTAAATAGGTACCAATCAAAATTATATCCCCAAATCTACAAAATCAAAGCGGATTAAATCCATATATGCAGTTAAACTGAAGTAGCCCTAATTTATTATTTGGTAATGACTTTATAATATAGTCATCATTTATGATTATTATTAATCATTCACATATTTTTAAGTATGACATGTATATAGGGGTATGACATGAATATAGGGAAAAACTTTATATAGAATAAATTATAATACTATAAATTAATTAATATTTATTTTTTTTATTTAATTTAAATTTATTTCAATTAAAATTTTTAATGATGATTTATTTCCTTTATTTTATTTAGTGTTGCTGGATGACGTTGTAACTATTTATTGTTGAGCGTCATTTATAGTATTTTAAAATAAATTATTTCCTTTTAATGTGAAATGAATATTATTTTGAATATAAAATTTGAATGAATTGTAGTATTTTTAAAGATGTAAATATTCCCAAAATTCAACTTACCGAGCTAGCTAATTATTCTTGGATGCCAGATAATTTCAGTCATGTAGTTTGATTTTATTTTCAATATAGATTTCTAACTATTTTTTTTATGTCCACTATTTTTAAAGATTGCACTTTGAATTGGATTCTATTTTACAAACTTATTAATTTCAATGACAGCAAAGTTTTTTAATTTTGGTTTTGTTTTATAAAAATTGTTTATAGTCAGAAATTTAAATTTAGCATGATGACAAATTCTTTAATCTCAGTAGTCGGTTCTATAATGATTATCTGATTTCTATGTGAATTTTAGATATTGCTATTTTTCAGAAAACAAAATAGTATGTATGGAATCTGTTTTTAAAAATTTTATATTTTTTCTAAGTTTATAAATTCTATCTACCCTATCTCTGTCCAACACCAAACTTATCTCTAACAAACAATACTTATTCTAGATATACAGTTTCTTTTACCTAATTACAACTTCTATTGTCTATGTCCACCTAGTCAACTCTCGTTCTGCAATCCTTTTATATTCCTCTTGTCTTAACAGCTAACTATCTTCGCTTTCCAATGCTTAATGTCTGCTGCCAACACCTCGCTACTCCTTGATTCAGTCTGGTACTAGTCTTGCTATTCTGCGCCCTGATTCTTCTTCCTTTTTCTGTTTTTCTACGACAGTCAAAATGATATTACTAACCTTTACTATATGGATTCTTTATTGGAAATTTATTTTCCCTTATTTCATATTTTAACTTCTTGGTCCTTTTATAAATACTCTGGTTTCTTTTACTAGTTTCCCTTACTGCAAGCCTTTGACATCTATCATGAATTAACTTCGTATCCTCAAATTTTCTCTTATACCTTCTAAGTTTATTTTCTTCTTTTGACTTTTTCAATACCTCCATTCAAATTCTCTTCTCCTTTTCTTTTTCTATATATTTTTCATTGGTTCTTCTTCGACAATTATTTATTTATTCTTCTTTATTTCACACAAAGAAAACCTCATACAATTTTTTTCTCTTAATTATTATCCTCCTCACTCTCGTATCCTAGTTACCCCACTTTTTTTAACCACTGCACTCTTATTTCTATTTACAAATAATTTTCTAATTATAGTTTCCACCTTGCACCCACCTATTTTACTATTTGATCTCTTTTATTAATTTAAACGCATATTCTCACTAAATTCATATTTTCTTATAAACTGTCACTTTATTCTTAACTGACTCAAATTAAAATTATCATCCTGTCACCATTTATCTTGGTATGTCTTTAATTAATGTATTTCTCATTTACTTTCAATTTCTACTTAATAATAAAACTTTTAATCAAATCCAACCTCTTACAATATAGGTATATTCCACACATAGATATATAAAAACTACTAATAAAGTGTTAGAATAGGTATCAGTTTTTTTGTCCTCCTGTAAGATTTTACTTTATACAGATGTCCTTTTCCAATCAACCGATTCAATTCCTCTCAAGGTCATATCTGTATTTAATAAGTGAAAAAGAAAAAATATTCATCAAGGAGAGAAGACTCAAAAGGTAATTAGAAATGTGGCATAAAAAGTACTTGTACAAAAACATTATGTGTTCCTTTACCTCAATAGTTTTTCTTTAAAATCCATATTCAAGCCGTCAACAAACTGTAAAAAAACTTTAGAATAACTTCCTTTCTGCAATAGACTTTGTGTCAGTTCTTCCAGAACATTTTCTGAAAATTTGATGCTAAAGTCATTTAACAACTGTTGCAATTGATCTGAATATTCTATAAGCTAAAAAGTAAATACTGATTATTCTGTTATTGTTGCATTAAAATTGTTCTATAAATATTTTTCACAGTATATACTTGCTCAAGTATATCGTGCAATATCAGAGCTGTTCCGAGTACAATGAAAAAGTACTCGAGTACTGAATATAAGTACTCTCGTATAAGAGTACTCAAGTACCAAGTACAGGTACAGTACCGTTGTACTTGAGTACCCATATAAGTACACAGTACCGAGTACATGTTAGTTATGAAATGTTGCAAGTAACGCTAAAGAAATGGGGCAATTAAGAGGTTAATTTAGAAGCACTAATGCAAAACTAGATACTAGCTGGCCTTTTGCCTCCATCAAATATTGATATTTCGCTTCATGTTAAGTATCAACTAAATACAGGGTGTTAAAAAAAGAGTGTAAAATATTTCAGGAGGTAATAGTATGAACCGAAATAAGCAGAAAAGTCTTAATAAACATGGGTCCGCAAAGTAACGGTTGCGGAGATATGGACCACTATTCGTTTTTCAAACATTTTATTTTATTAGGAATAAACCAACAAATGAAGCTTTTAACAAACAAAAAACAAAGTTACAGAAGATGTTCAAAGTGCCCCCCGTCCATTTCCAAGCAGGCACGACATCTTCGTCTCAACGATATTCGAACTCTTTCGAAAACACCCTCCTTGGTTTGGATTTCTTGACACTTTTGATTAATCCGTAGCTGCAGCTCTTCCAGGCTATTTACAGGAGTACCATACACTAATGTCTTCAAATATCCCCAAACAAAGAAATCTAGAGGGTCCAGGTCAGGCGATCTTAGAGGCCATAAAACAGGTCCGGCCCTTCCTACCCATTTATGTGGAAAAGTTTGGTGTAAATGCTCTCTAACGGCCATGAAAAAATAAGCTGGAGCACCATCATTTATTCCTAATAAAATATAATGTTTGAAAAACGAATAGTGGTCCATATCTCCGCAACCGTTACTTTGCGGACCCATGTTTATTAAGACTTTTCTGCTTATGTTGGTTCATACTATTACCTCCTTAAATATTTTACACTCTTTTTTTAACACCCTGTATAAAAATTGTCAACAAGGTCAGCTACCGGCTAGTATCTTGTTTTGCTTTGCATTAACTTTATTTTCGAATTATCTTTTTGAAGAATTTTGGTACTTACTTTATTCCTACTTAAAATAAAACATGTTTTCTTACAATCCTTTTTTATTAGCTTTAAAAATGACCAATTTGTGGTGTGAGGTAGCATAGCGTGCAGCGTGGCCGTTATTTGACAAATCAGCCCGCATAAGAATATACTCATTGCATAAGACAATATATTCGAGTACAATGAAGTAATCAAGTACACAGGAAAGTCTTTGAGTACATTTTTTGCGATCTAAAAAAAGTACTCGGAACTGAGTACCAAGTACACTGAAAGTACTTGGAGTACAGTGTTAGAGCACTTATATTCGAGTATCGCACAGCTCTCTGTATATAAGATGATTGAAAAAAGTACAATGCATAGTACCACACGATAGACCTCAATATTAAAAAATTCTGTTCACTTATTTCCAAATCCTTTTTATTTTCAAAATACAGGATGTTGAAATCAAAGTTGTTCCAAAAAAAAAACAATGATATTTTTTAATATATTGAAAGTGAAAGGCGATATTTAACAATAAGTAAAAATTAGTGACATGATTAGAAAGTTTATCGCAATGCGTCCAAGTGAAATCATCCCTCATTAATAGGTAAGGCATGTGTTATTATTTTACATAATTGTAATGCTATCAATATTTTCAAATGCTGAATATGTTGTTATAATTATTGTGACAGTAAAGTTACCACTGCTTGTCATGAGTGTAATCGTCTTAGATCTGACAGACGCCATCTGTACCACATTCAAGACATGCGTAGGAGGCGAGTATTTTGCAACGGAATGTTAAACTAGAGAATGACGTGCTATTTACAAAAATAGTGATCTGGACAGATAAAGCCACTTCTATGAGAAAGGGAATTTTGTACCAAAGAAACAACCACATTTGGTCTTATGAGAATCCACAGGTAGTGCAAGAATTCTTTAAAATGGTCTGCACACCCTTTAAAAAATATTTCCCTAAAACATGAACGAATAGCTGGTATCAGCTGCCCACTGTGGTAGAGGTCCTCGGGGATATATATATATATATATATACTCGTTATCCTGGGAAATGAATTGGTCGTGGTGAGCCTACAGTGCAAACTGCATGTTCACCAGATTTAACCCCGATAGATTATTTGAATAATTACATTTATTATTATTTTGATTTAAGTTGCTCTTATTTGTAAAGATAGTGGGTTAGTTTTCCAGGGAAAACTAAAACACGTAAGAAACTCTACCTCACAGGTAGTGTGGAAACGAGTATAAAGAATTTTGTTGATGTGTTTACAAATTCTACTTACTTTTAAGCATAAACATCAATATTCTTGTGATATTAGGGAAAAAATTCAAGTTACCTTTTTTACGTATTTTGTGCATTAGAATATAAATCCGTTACAATTAACTTATAAACAAAAAATCAATTTTTTTTAACAACTTCAACACCCTGTATCTCTAAAATGGGGCTATTCCAGACCAATGTTTATAAGGCAAACACATATTATTTTAAAGAGATGTATCTGCCCTCGAAGTTTCCTGCATAAAATTTGGACCACCCTGTATACGGGGAGTTAATTAAGTACGTACACTCGACGCAAGATAAAGGTTTCCAATCTGAATCGTATTTTGTTTGAAATATGACGGCTTAACTGCTTGTCTATATGGGGCGTTCCCAATAAACTAGTGTGGCAATATTTTACCGTCACATCTGACATTTTACGAGTTTTGTGCAAAAATGTTTTCCTGGTAGATTGGCATTTTTAAAATGGGACTAATCGGCAAACTCTTATAGCAGACCCCGTATGCATTTTTTATTATCTTGTTTCTATTAAAAGAGTTGCATTTATATTACAATAGAAAAATAGATTAATCCTAGTTAATAAATCTTGTGAAACATCTACTACCTACTTACGAATAGATAGATTGAATGGATTTAAGAAAATTAAAAATTTTAATTTTTTTTTAAATTTTGAAAACCCTGCAGCTCGGAAACGGCGGCCTTAAGAGCCTACGTGTGTGTAATAAAATCTACTTAATTTTAGCCACAGAAGGGGCCTCTGGTTTTTCTGTATGCTATTAATGAACGCTGTATAGGTGCCCGCACTGAAATCAGTTAAAGTTTCTTATAAAAGTTGAAAAATGAACGATTTTGTAATTTTTTTTCAATCTACTCTAAAAAATGTAATTTTTCTTTTCAGAGAAATAGATATAATTTTTAATTTTTAATAAGTTATAACAATTTCAAACTTTTAATCGTTAATTTTAATGTAACAAATCTAAAACAATTTTTTTTTCTATACTATATTCGATTGATTATTTAAAATAATGAAAAGTTGCCTTCGAATTTTTTTTTACGTTTGTTTTTTAGACAGATACTAATTTATTTACCTTTTTATATTTTGAATTTTATTTAGCTCCAACGACACTGCCAGGACAAAGATAAAAAATCACGTTCGCTTTGTCGCACTCATGGTACCGAAGTTGTGAACAACTCGCATGCTTTTGACAAAGATAGATTATTTCATTCGCTATTGTCAATGCGCGTGCATCAGTAAACATGTGTTTCTTTAAATTATTGTATGCTCAATATCCATTGTTAATCTCAAAAAGGTAAATACATATAATAAGGACTAATATTTTTTCTTTTAGCCTAAAACGGATTTAAACAGTTCACCCCCAAAAATAATATTTCCGTGATAACTCGGGTTCTAATCAATATTTTGGAATGAAACAAAATGGAAATTACTTCTTATAAAAAAAACATTTATGGGCTTATGTAATGCGTCAGTTGAATGAACAGTATGACGATATTCCACCAAATAGAGATACGCTCTGGGAACGTATACAAAATATTTGGAACGCTATAGACTTGAATTATATACGACGCCTTGTTACATCTATTCCAAACACATTACAAGCCGTTATTGATTCGGATGGTGGTTGGATATATTATTAGACTGGTTTGTTTTTCATTGTCTATAAAATGATGTCAAAATAAGGAAATAAGTTCATAACATTATGGGCCCGGAAATGCTTCCTTTCTGAATTTTTAAAAAATCCTGTTTTTCTAAATATTTCGAAAACGATTTAAGATATTATGCTGAGCTTTGGTGTATAGTACAGTGGCAGTGTAATATCTTAAATCGTTTTCGAGATATTTAGAAAAAAACGGATTTTAAATTTCTTTTGACATCTATCTCAGAAAGGAAACATTTCCGGACCCATAATGTAATGAACTTATTTACTTATTTTCACTTCTAGAACACGTCCTTAAAATATTTCCCTTTCCTCCCGAAACTGTATAAGTTATAATAAAACTGTAGTTTACAATATTTTTTTATTTTGTTGCCTTCATGACCTACCTACCTATTTTCTGCAGAATATGACACAAATTCTTATTTCAAAATTAATTTTCTCAGGGACAAGAAAAGTAATGTGGCAAGACAAAATAATTTCAAAACCTCTTCTCTTTTTATAATGCATATACTTCAGGCCTGCAATTTTTTGTTATGTGTCATTATACACGTGCCTACATAAAAAAAAATATGACACGCCCCTAATTATTGATGCCCCTTTAAAAGTAGTATGCCTTTTAGATTGGAAACCTTTATCTTGCGTCGAGTGTACAATAAATTCAACAGACAATTATTTGAGTGATTTTAAGACAAAAAGTTCATATTAACATTGGTCTGCAGATGCTTCGTTTTCAAGATAGAGGGTGTTAAAATTTTGTAAAAAAATTTATATTTCGTAAATATCTTAAATACCCTATACCCAATTTTGTTGTAATTTGGCATTGTTACTTGTAGTATTAAGGGGCTAATTTAATCCCAACTTGATTAGATTTGTTAAGTCCAGTGTCGTCTCGAGCGGTACCTTAATAATTATTTTCAACAAAAAAAATGTACGTCACTGACTTTTTTGTAATTTTTAAATTTTTTTTTGGATTAAGCAACTAAAAATACACCTTTTTTGTCTCTTTCATGTTTTTCGTATCTAAATTAGTTTTTGGAGAAAAAAAATAAAATCCACTTAATTGCATATCCCTGGACCACACAAGAAACATTATAAATATTCGTTAGGGTATCGCTTGGGACACCACTGGACTTAACAAATCTATTCAAGTTTGGATTAAATTAGCCACTTAACACTACAAATAGCACTGCCAAATTACAACAAAATTGGGTAAAGGGTGTTTAAGATATTTACAAAATAGCATTTTTTTTACAAAAGTTTAACACCCTGTATCTTGAAAACAAAGGACCAATATTTATATGGACTTTTGTCTTAAAATCACTCAAATAATCGTCTGTTGAATTTATTGTACATACTTAATTAACACCCTGCATATGTGTATATAAAACAGTATTATAAAACTTCGTGCTCCAATTCACCATCCACCGTTGACCATAAAAAAAGTGATTGGTGAAAATTTTGAATTTTGTCATTGTCAGGTGCAACTTGCAAACTTTCCATCAATATAGTCATATGCTGTAACCGTGCAATAGATGTGTGATTGTAAGACAGTTACATAAACCTTGATATTTTGAATGGAACTTTTTCACTTCTTACAGCACCTATACTGAAAGAATTTCTTTTATAAAATTTGATATGTAGGGTTTCAAAAGTAAATAGTAAATGCAATATTCGAAAGAGACTTCCATGCAGGATACTGAATGGATTTGTCTAGTTTCTGAAGCAAACAATGTGAATTGCTATTAAAAACGGATTTTTAATAAAATATCAATTTTCATCATATGTGGATTTGTCGGGTTTCTCAAATAAGTGATTAATTTCATTTGGAGAGCAGTTAAACAAAAGATATACGAAGTACCATACCCAAAAATCTAAGAGGAATAATAGACTCACGTTACAGGTCCACCACAACCCATTCATATCTGAGGATAATAAACATCTGTCTTAAGTTTATGAGACAAACAGCAACCTACTTAGAATATTTTCATAATTATCACATAACAAGGACGTGTAAGTGTTAAGGTGAACTTAAATAAAATTAATTTGCCATGAAATGGTAGCAAATACGAAAAAAGAGACAATTTTTGTTTAAGATAAAATATCACATTCAAATAAGAAGGTACCTACCAGTTCTCATTACTTACATGGCCATACTACTTTATTTGTCGAACTAAATAAACCGCTTAGCTATATCTCCTTCACTAATGGCTTACTAGCCATCAGTGAAGTACTAGTCAAATGTCATCTCATGTATTTTATGTAGATTGATGAAACTTTATCTAATGGTTTTAATAATTAAAGGCAAAAGTTTGTTGGCATACAAATCTGTCAACCAGTGGCAGAGATACCGAGTAACACTGATATCCCCAGAATTTTTACTCTACCGAGTTTTTTGGAAATTCCTTAGTGGCATTTGATTTGTATTTCAAACAAAACAGTTATCTTTCATTTTATATAAATAACAAGTGTTTTTCAAGTTAGGTACCTACGATATTTTTTAATTTAAAAGTATAAATTTTAAAAAAGTACCTATAAGAATTTTAAGTTTGAAATTTTATTTTAAATAAAATGTAACCATCAAAAACCCAAAAAAATCATTGCTGTAGAAATTTTCAATTATCCAACATCTAACATATGGAGGCACAACTTCCAAAAAAATGTAAAATGTTTATGCCACTTATTTTTTTAGACTTTGATTTTCGTATAGTCGAGGAAATAAAGCACTAAAAACGGCTTTACCTCTGAAATCTGTGCAGTAAGATGGATTGTGATGCGGTTTTTTGCATTCAATTCGTTAGAGCGTCCAGAAAGTTTATGACCCTATGTGATCAATGAGAAATGAAAATTGCATTGGTACATAAGAAAAATGCATTTTTAAAATTGCGTCTTGAAGAGTTAAAGTATGAAAAATTTACAACTCGGAAAATATTGACGGAAATGAGTTCGGGGGTTCTTGGGGTCGCTGAACACAAATATCACGACGGCAACGGTCTCCGAGGTACCTAGTGCCCAGAGTGGCCGGTTTCCACGTCGTCTCCTGCAGTTTTGTGGAAATTTGTTATAAACTTAGCCGAAACTTGTTACCTCGGGGTTTTTGGGGTCGCTCAACACGAATATCACAACTGCAACGGTCTCCGAGGTACCTAGTGCTCTCGGGTGGCCGGTTTCAATGTCGTCTCCTGGAGTTTTCTGGAAATTCGTCATAAACTTAGCCGAAACTCGTTACCTCGGGGTTTTTGGGGTCGATCAACACGAATATGACGACGGTAACGGTCCTCAAGGAACCTAGTACCCAGGATGGCTGGTTTATGTGACAACTATTACATTCTTAATTATTTTTTATTATAAAAATACTTTTATTCATTACAAAAAATACGTTTTTTAAAATACATATTAATACATACATATTTATACATAAATATCTTAACAATTTTAATTTTTCTTATTTAATTTTTTAATTTTCGATATCTTTTTCATCTTCTTCATCTAGTGTTTCTACTTCCGAAGAAAATATATCATTTGCAGAATATTTTTTATTATTCGTGCAATTAATGCCTGCCCAATTTTGCACGTGATGCTGCAGTTCAATCCGTGCTTCCTACATCCACATGAAGTTCCGCAATCGGTTTTGCACTCACAGAAAATCATATTCATGATCCTTGGTGGACCGTTGCTGTCGTGAAATTCGTGTTGAGCGACCTCAAAAACCCCGAGGTAACGAGTTTCGGCCAAGTTTATAACGAATTTTCACAAAACTCCAGGCGACGACGTGGAAACCGGCCACCCTGGGCACTAGGTACCTCGGAGACCTTTGCCGTTGTGATATTTGTGTTCAGCGACCCCAGAAACCCTCGAGTAGCAAAATTGAACTTATTTCCGTCAATATTTTCCGAGTTATAAATTTTTCATATTTTAACTCTTCGAGACGCAATTTTAAAAATGCATTTTTCTTATGCACCGATGCAATTTTCATTTCTCATTGATCACATAGGGTCACAAACTTTCTGGACGCTCTAACGAATCGAATGCAAAAAACCGCATCACGATCCATCTTACTGCACAGATTTCAGAGGTTCAGCGCTTTATTTCCTCGACTAGTACTATAGTGTAGGTATTTAAAATGTGATTTTTAACAATAAGTTTCCATATCTTTTTGTTTAAAATATTTTGAAGATTTTTAAAATGTATTCAACTTATTAAAAAAAATACTAATAAAAAAATAAAATAATTAATAATTCATATAAAATAGAAGAAAATCTTGGAAACACAATTAGTAATCAAATACCTCCTTAGTAGCATACAAATTTTGGTTTCCTATGAGTTATTATTCCCCAATATCTATTATACTGATTTTGACATATTTGTATAGGTACCGATTTAACAAATCTTTGTTTTTGATTAGTTAAATCATTGCCCAAATTTCATCAAACTACCGGAGATATTTAAAAAATATATTTCTTTTAAATTTCAGTCTATTGTATCTCGAAACCAAAAGCAATTTAGATACGTGTGAAATAAAATATACCTACATTGTCAAAAGATGTCATAATTTTTTTAATTTTGTGTATTTCCAATCATTTGGTGCACTATAATTTTTACATTTGAGCACTCACGCCTGTTTTCAGATTCTAGCACTTATGCATACTTAAAATTATTTTTTTATATTTTTGTTTTTAAAACAAAGTAATTACCTTTTCCAATAATAAATATCTTATATAATAAGATATAATTGAGTCACTACAAATATTTAGTGACATTAAAGATGTACCAAAATTTAAAACTTCCTCAAATTCTAATTTTGATAATAAACTAAAAATTTTCTGTTGATTGCATATTACACTACTCATAGGTAATATTGATAGCTTTTCCTCTGTTTGTAGATGTTCTTTGATTAAATGTAACATATCATCTGCGGTGAAGTCATTTACAGTTTTAATATTAGTATTCACATCTAAAAGATTTATTTGTGCCTGTTTAAAGTTACTAACAAACGATTCTTCTTCATCACTGCTTGTTAAATCTATAACATTATATTTGCCTTTACGATTCAAATCGTCAGCTTGTAAATTAAAATCCTAAAATCAGATTAAGTATTAATTAATTATATCTAGGTTAGAAATTAAAAAAATTACTACAGGAAGGAATTGACTAAGTGTTTGGTGCTCCATTAAATTACAATATTTTTTGTTTCTAACTTTTGCTGCTTGTAAAAATTGTAACAAGTGTTCCTCATTTTCTTTAAAGAATTCATATCGATACATTTAAACTTTCACGCTAACATGGCGTCCTCACTCCTCACCGCGCGCCATTATTCCATGGCTAGAAATTGGCCACAATGATTTGGGATCGAGGGGGATTATCCCTCTTTATCCTGCCTCATCTCGTGTAGGCCTGGACAGCCTTCGTAGGTGGGCCCCATCCGTCGTCTACCCCGACCGCAAATGCGGCCGGTGTAGGCGCTTTGTGGGACCTCCTTTTGTCCTGGCTGGGCCCCGCCGGCTAGGGCCCTTTCTTCTGGCGCTCTTCTTGCTTCGCCGGCTCGTCTGTGTAAACCCCGGGGGTAGTGTCATGTTTATGTGTGGTATGGTTGGGTAGGGTAGTGCGGCTATGCAGCCTGGGATGCGCTTTGCTAAG